CATCGCAGTGAGCGAGCGACGAGATGGCCACCAGGGGGCGCGCGTGACGCGGCGATGCGGGAAAGATGGCGTCTCGGACCTCGGAGCGTTGCGGGGAAGTACCGCTAGAGGGTGCATGTATGGCGGCGATACAGGAAACCACGCACTTAGCAGTGAGCAGCCATGATGAGTGAGCGAACGTGTGTGGCAACAAACAACCCCATAGAGCAGTAGTTCTTAACCCTTTTTGAGTCATGGACCCTTTGAGAATCTGGTGAAAGCTACGGACCACGCCCAAGAAAAATGAACGTAAGCACATGAACACAATTTTTTTTAATGCGCCTTGTTCACGGACCCCCCTGAAGCCCATCCATGGACCCCAAAAGGGTCCATGGACCACGGGTTAAGAACCCCTGCCCTAAAAGGTCGCGCGTAGTACCCACGTACCGAGACAGGATAGAAGATAGCAGATAAAAAAAAAACGACTAAGAGGAGGAGGTTTCTTTGCAGCGATATGGAGAAGACAAAGAAAAACACGAAATACGGCGTTTCGTGGCTAGCGGCTGTAATACGTGTAATCTGTTACACTGCGCTGATATCAGTCATTACCGAGTTCTTCGAAGCCGTCGTAATAACATGCAATTGGCGGCACCGCAGCAGCGATAGCTAAAAGATTTCTCGTTGCATCCGATAGAGGAGAAACGTTCTAAAATAGCATCTCTCTGCTTTCGCGAGCAGGAGTTACATATAGGCATGCAGCGTATCGTTTCAAATCGCCCGCATCAACGGAGCGCTGGTAAACAGATTATGCGTCAATCAAAATAATCTTGGTTTTCTTACGGACAGAATTTGTATATATATGAGCAATACAGAGTTGTTAATATAATATTAGGGACACCGTAAGTGTACGCACACACCCGCGCACGCACGCACGCACGCACTCACGCGCGCACGCACTCACGCGCGCACGCACGCACCCACCCACAGAGAGACAGACAAATATATGACGCTATGCTTACCGAAACGTTCTAATGTTCTAATCCATTTCGGTGGATTATTTGTTCACTATTTAACCTCTATTTGTTATCCACTTAGGTTTGTTTGGCAAGTAGATAAGCAAGTGGCAGGTGTACACCCGATCTCGGCATGAAACATTGATGTGCAACGATCACATCTAAAAGAATTAATAATTAAACCTACCAGACAACCCCCACCATGCACCCCCACCCTTCGCACAACTCAGGCTCTGATCTTCGCTAAAGTTTAAGTTATAAATTATAATGAAAAATTAGGAAATCTTGAAATATTCGGAATCAATACACATGGTAGTCCGCGTGCGTATTTACGCTATTACGCGTGTATTACGCGTGTATTACACATGTATTACGCATGTATTACGCATGTATTACGCGTGTATTACACATGTATTACACATGTATTACGCGTGTATTACACATGTATTACACATGTATTACGCGTGTATTACGCGTGTATTACACATGTATTGCACATGTATTA